TGCTGCTTCCGCTTACTACATCTCCTCACTTCACTACTGGTTTGGTGACATCTTAGACATCTATAGTCTGGCTATACATAAAGAACTTCGACAGGAAGATGCTGTGAAGAACTGAATTTGAATCATCACAACTGTTAAAAAGAAGAAAATTCCAGTTACACACATCTAAACAGCCATTTTTTCTCCTGAATAATAAAAAAAAAGATACAAATGCTCTTATACAGATATATAATTACATAATACCCTAAATCATAAACTATACTCTTCCCCACAAAAATCCCATAATAAAAATATTATGCTCTCAATAAAATTTTATAGTTAGTTTATTTGTTAACTAAGATGAAAATTTTTACTTATTCTTAATAACTTCTTTTAAAGGAAATCATATATACTTAGATTTACCTCTTTCAATATCATCCATCGGAGAGCTTGGGGACATCTTGTCTTCAGATGGAGAATGTTTTACAAGACTGGGAGTCCTAGTTAAATTCCGTGCTTGTTGTTGCTGTTGCTCTACACGAGACTGAAATTTACTGTTTCCTTCAACTCTGCGAATAAGAATATCAGAGGTCAAAACAGGTATGATGGCATTGTAACAACAATTTCAACTTACAAAGTTATGAAAATTGACCACTTACTCTTTTCCCTAGACATCTTTAAAGTGATATTCAAGAATTAAAATATTAATTTAATTCGTTATTTAACAAATATTTATTGTGCCCTGCTATATACATATGGCATACACATAAGTCATACTTTATGACCTATGAGAGATATAAGTATGAATAAAAACAAAACTACTACTCAATATTGAAGAGATAAGATACATGAATGCCTAAAAGAAAATGAAATATACCTAAGTATATAATAGGTACAATGTATTTTCTAAATTCTAAAGTTATTATTTCTGTTAAAATTAAGTCATTTCCACATTTTTCATTCATAACTTTAAGATATGTTACTAAAGCAGGTTCATTGACTTCCTTTTCAATACTTTTAAGAAGAGTATATAACAATTTGCTTGACTTCTGCCTCTCAAAATCATCTTTTGATGATTTCCAATCATCAAATCCTATCAGTTCTTCCTTCACAAAGTATTTAGCACCTCACTTCTCTCTTCATTCCTACTCTCAAAAACTGTGATTTATGTATTTTTCTGTTTCCCACATTGTTTCATTTTACTCAGTTTGCTTGGTAGATTAATGTTTCAAAACAAAAATATTTTAAATTAAAAGAATTCCTAGTTTAAAAATTTAATATGTAACTACCATCAATAAGACAATGTCCTAATTTTTAGTTAATGTTGAAAGCATTAGCTTCAATCTACCTTTATGATCTTACCTCTATCTAATCCACTATCAATCTCACTCCTCACTTTCCAATACTTATTATATACAGGCACAGAGACAATCTCTGGCCTATTCAAAGAGGTCTTTTTCATTGGCCCCAAATAAATCTGATACATTCCTGCCTTCAAACCTTACTTATATCTCCAATCCATTAAATTGGTTTTTCCCAAACTTTGTTACTAATAAAAATCACCTGGGGGAGGAGATAATAAAAAATAGTTTCCCAGGCTCTTTCCTAATCTGAAGTTAGTTTTGGGAACTTATCTATTTAACAAGGATTGAAGGTAATTTTTATTATCAAATATTTTTTTGGGGGGAAAAAAAGCTCTAAATCTTAACTTTTTTCAAGTTACACCAATAAGGGCTCCCTGAATGTTCCAATCAACCATAACCCCTCCCTTTCTTTAATTTCTTAGAGCAATTTTTGTCTATATTATTTGTATGGTTTTTAGAGCAAGTCCCTTCATTATATGGTAATTCATACACCCATCTGTTTCCAAAAAAGGATCTGAGATGGCTTTATTCTCTTATTGACTTTTCTAATAGAATTACATGTTAATCCAATTAAAATGCACGAGTTTTGAGGTTAGTACTTGTATAGAAAACTTTCCTTTTCCTAGTGCCTTACAGATTCGAGGTGCTCAATAACTTATACAAATAAAGATGAAATTATTTTGAAGAGTATAAAATGGCTCCTTTCAATCCAGTTCTATGTAAGCATCTACAACAGAATAAGGTATATCTAAACATACAGAAAACATTTAGAAACAAAACAAGCTTTTATATATCATAGGGAGAAATGGTACAAGCTTTTGGCTCAGGCTCTCCACCAAATTTAAACTAAGAAAAAGATTCAAACATTTTTGTACACACAGAAATAACCCTTATAAATAATGTGATTTAATTCAATAACTTTTTTCACAGACATTTCCTTAGCATTTTATATGCTAATAAAATAATTTATTTTGTTAACCACATACCTTGTTTTTTTTACAGTGATGTTGCTGCTGAGTTTTTCTAGTCGACATTCTCCAGTATCATGGTTAATAATCAAAATGCATTCTTTTAAGTAAGGTTTCTTTGAACCTTTGAAAACAGTTACTGGTGGAGTTGATCCCTGTTTAAGAAGTTAATTATCATTATTTAAAATTTGTGATAGAAATTCAGTTGTGAAAGACTTTGAGATCTGTTTCTCAATCTATGTTATACTTCAAGTCACCTAATTACCTAAATTTGCCACTTTGAAAACAAGAAGTGTAGTAAAATGGACAGAGATGAAGAAAGGCTGAGATATTAAAGCTGCTATCATTGAGGAAAGGGAACAGAGGAAGTACTTGCCTTGAGTCAGTAAAGATTTGTTTCATTGGTCTTCAATGGGCAATTGAGATTTAATTCTAATACAACCAATATATTTTACAGATAACGGAACAGAAGCCCTGAATCATATTTCCTACCCTTCCTCTCCTTCTTTCATAAATATAGTTTTTTAAATATGGCACTTTCTCAAAGAGGTACTTCCCTATGCAGTTTAAGGAAAATGAATGTATCAAGGAATAGGATCTGTTACACTAAACGCATAGATTAATTTTAGCAAATTAAAAGTGAGACAACCTTACATTATATGCTTCATGATATTATATAAAAATGTGCATCATTATTTATAAAGTATTCTTGCCAAAAACAAAAAAACGAAAAACCCCACAAAGAATCTATCATCAAGCCTTTAGATATTAACTACCACTTTACAGGAAATAAGAATAATAGAGAAACAAGTTAAATAATACCAGGCAGAATCAATTTGAAACCCAGAATTTCAGTGGGTATATTCTCTAGGACAAATAACTTGGTTTTTCTAACCAACTAATGGCATAAAAAGAGGAAGGGACTTTTACAGAATAAAAGAGACTTAAGGAACAATATCAAAATACTAAAGGAATATTATTTGGATTCCTTAGGGATAAACAATAAAAAGACATTTTGAGACCACCATGAAAATGTGAGTATGGGCCAGGTATTATAATTAATTCTGCTGTGTGTGATAATAGCATGATACTTAGGTAAAAAAAAAAAAATCCTTGTCAGTTAGAGATGCTCACATAAACCTTTATGAAATGGCATAATATCCGGGATTGCTTTAAAATATGTTAGGAAAAAAAGCGATAGAAGAATATATAAAAAAGCTTAGGAAAATATTGATAATTTTGAAGTTCAGTGAGAGTACATGGGGGTTCATTATGCTATTCTATTTTCCATAATAAAATGTTAAAGAAACCTACATCATTACTTATAACCTACATCTACCTACATGCTCCTCCTCCATCTTTCATCAGCCTCCCTCAATCCTGAAGGACTTTATGTTTATAATTCTCTAACTTTATCCCATATATATGTATCCTTAAATAATAAAGTGTTATATTTACTTGTTTTTGAACTTTATAAAAATGCATTATAATAAAAGTATACTGATTATGATAATTTTGTCAAATACGATAGTTATATTAGATCAGGTTAGAAAAGGGTGACTTATAAGACTAAAGGGTATATCATATTTAAAACATTATCAAACATTAGAGATTTAACACATGACCACAAGCAGGAATATGAGATAAATTTGGTGACTAAGGATACCATAAATGGAAGGTAAATCCTAGAGACTTGAGAGGTAGGGAGAGAAAATGATGAAACCAAAAGAAAGGAACTGGTTTTCCACCTTGCCTCTAAGACTAAAGTGATCTACAGGAAATCAAGCATGTACAGCACATAGACGAGGACATGTCTGGAGTGGCCATAGAAGAGTGAGATGTGGAGCACTTATTTGAAGCCCCGGTAAGGTAGAGAGCAAGGAGCAGGATTATGATAAAACAAACTGGGCCAACTTGGCTGGTAAGTATATTTTTCAGATGTCCTGGCTGAAAACAAGTGAGTAAGAAACTTCAAAACAGCAACCTAAGAACTCCAAATTATAGTTGATGAGAGATTTGTGCAATATATTCTCCTTAAAGATATTTGTATTATTACTTAGAATACAATAGATTATTGTATTCTTGGGTTACCGAAGACTAAGGGCTGTATCATAATTTTTTTTATTGCTTCTAGCACCTAAACTACCAAGTCCTTCACAGATACTCAATGAATGTTGAATATGAACAATATAGACTTTTAATACTTCCATAATCTCTACACCTGCCTTTTACACTTTGAACAAGTATTTTAAAATTAAACTTTTTTTCCTCATTAAATTGAGCACCATTCTTATTTTAAACTTTAATTTCTTCCCAGTACTTTATTCCATACCCCAAGAAAGGGATATTAAAGCGTTAAAGTACCAGGAAATTCTAAGCATATGAACTATCCTTGCCTCTAAATAATTATTGAATACATCCTATCTCCATGTTTACTGCTATTATCCAACTTCAGAACACTATCATCATCTTACCTAGATTACTGTTATCTTCCTCTTTACTCCTAGTTTTGTTTCTCATCTGCTGATAGGCAAATCTGATAATGCCTGATTATGAACACCAGGAAAGAAAAGGAAACAATAATGGAATGGAAAAGTATAATAGTAGTCTCAAAGTAACATGAGGGGAAAAAATAATTGAAAGAAGAGATGCCTGATAAAACTAATAAAAAAGAAAAGAGAAAAATGAATTAAAATAACTAATAAACCTACTATAAAATTATAGAAATAAAAATCAAGTATGTCAACTTTGAACTAAATGTGGATGGAATTTTCCTAATAAAAATAGATGTGTCAAACTGGGTTTAAAAATTAAACAGAATATTTTGTTAACAAAAGATGTAATTAAAAACGTGAGCTAAATAAAAGAAAGAGATGCTAAGATTCCATGAACATGGAAACAGAAAGCAGAGTTAGCAATATTAATATTAGATAAGATGTTATTTAAGCTTAAAATCACAAAAATAGGATGAAGTGTTTATTATATAATGATAAAAGATATAATTCATTTAAAAATATAACTGTAACAAGATGTTAAACTAGAACTCTGATACTAAAATAGGTTGAAGCCCCCAGAGTGTTGTGGGTTATTTTCCCATGTGAGCTAAGTAAACTTAATGAAAGGAATCAAACTAGGTTCATCCTGGAACGGACTTTGCCCAAGACAGTCATCTAGAGTGGCGTAGTAGCCCTCTAGACATATGCAACTCTCACAAGTCCAGGGTTTGAGGGCTAAAGTCATAAGCAACCACTAGAGATGCATTTCCTTCATTGGAAGTTTCTGGTGAACTACTTCATCCAGGCTCACAAAGTATTCCATAAGATAGAGTCAGCAATAAAATTATGCCAAACTTGGACTGTACCAATGACAAATTTTAACAGTCAAATAAGTCTTTTCCTTTCTAAATTCATCATTCTGAAATTTTATATCAGTCGACCATAGAGAACTGTTTGTAAAGAAGACAGATTTGTAATGCCCAAAATTAACCAGCCTAACCGTCTTTATTTTTATTTTGTTCTTCTAATTGGTACTACCAAAAAAACCCTAGAAGAATGAGAATTAGAAAATATACTCTATCGAAGAACTGTCAGAACCTTCTTAATAGTATAGTATAATAAAGTTCTAATTTATGGGATGACTCCAAGCTTCTAGGAATTTTTACCAGAATGATGAAAGCAAGTTCATAAAGAAAAACAGGAAAATCTAAATGCCTCAAACTAATCATCATTACATTTCTACAAACTACCCACAAAATTAAGAACTCTGAAGAAACATAAACTTCCTACTTTCCCTCATAATAAAGAGGGAAACATAAACTTTCCCTCTTTAATAAAGAGGGAAAATCCAAAGTTTATTTGAGATTTTAATTTCTATTCTTATTCATAGTTGTTTAAGGACTCTATGCCCAGCAGAAAAAAATTTGTTCTTGACAGGTGGTAAATTTAACAATTCTAGTTGTCTAAAAGAATTACAGGATAGAGTTCAAATACTTTTGCATCACACATTAGGTTCTTTATTATCTGATCCCTAAATACCTTTTCAGCTCCTACTGTGCCCCCATATGCACCCCCTCTGACCTAGCAATAGTGGCTTATTTGTAGTTCTTCAAATATAAGACTCTCGTTGCTTTGTTTTAGCCTATGTCTTTTTCTTTTCTCTACTTAAAATGTGTTCTCTTTCTTTCACCTATACAACTTCAACTCATTTTTAAACAGGGTATCCTGATGTCTCCTCTCCCTCCCCTGGCTGAGTTACCTCTCTTTTGTACTCCTATAATAATCTGTATATATCTTTATGATAAACCTTACATTTCTCTATTTTAATCCATTATTTCCCGTCTTCCTTATTAAATGGTATCTTTTTTAGGACACTGACCACGTCTAATTTACCTCTGTATTCCCAATAGCTACCTAGCACGGGACTTATAACTCAAAGGTACATCTACATATGGTCTGCCTGTTCATTTGTCTCTTCCCCTCTTTCTTTCTCATGCACATTTACACACACACACACAAACTGAGGCATATTTTGGACATATCTCTGGATGGACTAGGTGGGGAGGGAGTTACTTTTTCCCAAATGATTTCTCGCTGTTTCAGAAAATTGAAGGCTTAAACATTTTTTTCTATAGCTGTCATTCCTTTAAGAGGTATTTCAATTGAGACTATAACCAAATACATGGTGAATGATAACCATGACAAGCCATCTCATGAATTTATACACAAAAGAATGTGGAGGAACTAGCACAAAACCATTCCTATTACAAAAATTAAATTAAGCAAAGAAAAAAATCTCAGGAAGTCCAGTGTTTTCTTTATATATTAAAGTCTAGGTTTTCTCTGAAAATAGATCAAGTTAGTGTAAACAAAAAATACAAGTTGAATGCTAAGAAATTTCTAACTCAAAGACTGAGAAAACTTAGAGCATACAACAAAGAACTTGTATATTTATGTAAATAGTATTTGATGTTACTTGGATACATCTAGAAATTTAGAAAATGAACAAAATTTAAAACTTTTGGTTAGGGTTTCCCTGACTTTAGTCTCTTTCTTTTCAAACCCATTCCCTAAACTATTGATAAAATCACTCCAAAAACACAAATCTATTCATGTTAGCTCTCTGCTTAAAAACCTTTAATGGTTCTCCAATACCTATGACATAAAGTCGAATTTCTACAAAAGATTCTCCACAATCTGATCCCAACCGACCTTTCCAGTTTCTATTCCTATCAATCATTTTTCATTAATCTGTAATTTACTATATTAAATCATTTTTTCCAAAAACGTCTTGTTCTATATCCATTAGTCTTTCACATACTGTTTCTTCTGCCTAGATTATTCTACTCCCTTTCTATCTGATGGAATTCTACTTGTCCTTTAAGGCTCAGCTCAAATAGCATCTGCTTTGGAAGCCTTTCAAGATTCCACCGGGCAGAGTATTTGATTCCAACTTATGTGCTTGCACAGAATTTTGTACATGCTCTAACTTATAGCATTAGATGTTTACATGTCTGTCTGCTATTACAAGTTAGAGTAGAAGGCAGGAGCATGTTATTGTTCCCATTTCGGAATATAAAATCTGTCTCATAAAATAATTTAATAAATACTTGTTTAGGCTTTCAGTTGTTTCAAACCATTTGATATGATAGTTCTTGAAACTTCTCAAATAGATTAAAGAATTCCAAGACTGTTTTACCTAAAATAATATTTTTTTGCTTTGCTGTGTTTATTAATTACTTTAACTGACTATCACTACATTGATTGCGCAATTATTTTCATTTAAATTTAGTGGAAATCTTACAAAAATATTCCTTTAGTCTAAATATATAGAAATACTCACTTCTATATTTGGCAGAGTTATTGTCACCTGTTCACCTTTGCCGACCTCAAGCTCTCCTTCACAAGAAGTGTCAACAGAAGCAGGTTTGAAGTCATCTAAAAATAGACACAGATACAGATTTTTATAAAATGCAACGACACCTGCATACCTGGATATCAAAAATATTAGCATGTTTTAGAGTGATAAATCATTTTTTGACAACCAGAGATTAAAATGGTTTAGAAGAATCTTTATATTATAAACAAACAAACAAAATACAATCCAGTATAATATTCTGAGAAGAAAAAATAGCTATACTCTAAAACAGTATTCCTCAAACCATGCTCCCTGGAATCCTGTTTAAATCAAGATGAACAAGACTAAGATGTTCCACTGCTAAAAACTAAATAATGTCAGTATTTTCATGATTGTTAAAAACTGATATCAGTAGAATGTTTTCGATTTTCAGTCTTTTTCTCCCATAAATTTTTTCAAGTCACCTTGGGTGCTTACTACCACTTGTGTGCTGTCCTAGCAGAATGAATACATGGCAAATATATAGCATGAATACATCGCAAATATATAGTCATGGGGAAACTTAACAAAAAGCAATCTTATTTATTTAACAGCTTGAGTTTTTCATGGATATGTACACCATTAAAGGATGTGTAAATTTAACAAAATTTGCCACTTCAGAAGAACTTAAAATAGTTTTCATTTTGAGTTTAATCACATAATTCAAACGACGTCATTAAAACATGTCACCTAGAAAGAATTTAGGGTGCTGAGATATTTCACATGCTAAACAAACTTAAAAACCTCTAAGAAATGAAACCCACTTAAAAATAATTCACATCAATATATATCAATGACTGATAATAATTCTGATATAGAATTCCTTGGGTTATATTTATTTTTCTAGGTTGACTCTATATTGAAATATAGCACATATGCAAAATAGAACACAAATCATAATCCTAATTATAATTAGCAACCAGATTAAGAAATAGAACATTATCAGCCCCTGAGAGACCCTCCCAATTTACCCTAAACCCCAAGAGATTTACCTCAATATTAACAGGGGAGCCCCAAAGGCAAAAGTCTAAATCCAAAGTAATAAATATTTATTAGTGAATATTAAAGGACCACAATGGGCAGATCTTAGGAAAAGAGAATCTTCCAGTGCTCATCAAATCATCACTTTGTCAATAAACAAAGGCTAGCCTTGCTTCACAATGACAATTATAATAGCAACCATTTATGGAAAAATTTACTATATGCCAGGCACCTTGTTTAATACTTCATATTTAATTCTCATAGCAACTCTAAGAAAATAAATGAAATCCATTCCTCTGTTCCTCAAACACATATAAATATAACCAATTCACACAAAGTATTCTTTATAATACGGTTTATTCTTCAGGCTACTTTAATTCAAAACTGAATACATGCAATAACCATCTCTTCAAATCCTGATGCTTATTCCTAGATATTAAAAAACGGATTAAAAATAACAAGCAATATGAAAAATATGCAAGAGTTTGATTTACAATGTATCCTTAGGTAGTACAACTGAGGATAAAGATTAGACTGAGAATAAATTGAGGAAGTTTTTAGTAGTAGCAAGGTAATGAAAAAGATAAAGGATAATTAAGATTTAGATCCTTGAAAGAGGTTTTGGACTTAGAGAAATAAGTGTTAATGTCAATGGATGAAAAGACAGTGATATTAAAGGGAAAAAATCCAAACTCAGCCTTGAGTATCACAGAAATAAAGAGAAAATATAAAGCAGAAGACAGAAAAATCCAAGAGAATGAACTAAGACATAAAACAAAATAACAGTAACAGCTATAACTTACATGCTAAAAGTTTATTAAAAATTTTTTTTCCTAATTACTTTCACCTTAAAGCTTCACAACAATCCTGGAAAGTAGTGAATATCCCTATCTTACAGATAAGGGAAGTGAGGGTGTAAGAAATTAATTCTCTTGCTCAAGATCATGCTATTAATATCTGCTAAAGCTAGAATAAGGAATCACAAAATCCAGCTAGAATAAAAAGATGAGAGGTTGGCCATCAACCTCTGACATCAGTCTAACTGATATCAACATCAATGGGGAAAGAAAATAACTTCAGTTTTAAATAGTAAATATCATTTGTGACTCTAAAGAACCAAAGTCATTTTATAAGGATGTATACAATAGAAATGAAGTAACTGCCACTTAAAATATTTTAATACAAATAAGTTATCATCTGGGCTATGTAAGTGCCCACAATGACAAACTGGTGTTAAAATGTCAACTTTCTATTTTTAACTATCTTTCAGGGTTCTCATCAGTGTAAGTATTCCTCTAAATATTCCTCAATCTTCTTCAGTACTCACATCTAATCACTATGTTTTCTTTCATACTATCTTTCAGAGCCATATCCTTCCATTCTCGGAGAGGACAAACTACTTTTCAATCAACAAAAGGCTGAACTATCAAAGTATCTCAACCTTGCTCTTCAGCTTTTCTCTTGGCTTTTGCTTAGAATTTGAATCCCAAAATCACAATTTCTTATCCACTCTATAGCATTTACCATACTACTCATCAAAACCTAACATACATTACCTGAAATTATTTAACTCTTTGTAGAAATGTCCTATTGGGCTGTAATTTTTAAAAGCGCAATGCCTCGTACCTTAATTCCTCCAGAATTGTGGCTCCTAGCACAATGCCTTTAATATTATGGGTACGGAAGAGACCTTTGTAATTGATTCTGCTTCATACTGTTAACACTTCTCTGAACCGTCTCCAAACCTACTTAAGTATAAACTTATTAAAGTCAAATTATGTGTAAAAGGCTTCTTTTCTAATTGTTTCCTGAGGATCAGATTCATCTCTACTTCAAGACTATCATTTATTTAGGGTAGATATTGCCATATTCCTTTTCTACTTTTCACTAGCACACTTTTTTTTCTTATAGAGGGCACCCATTATTTAATATATGACAAAAGAATTCTCTGTGATACATATGTAAAACATTAGAAATGACATCCTAGAGTAAAACCATGGCCCTCTGATCTCCCATGTTTTTCTCATAGTGACACAAAGGACAACATTGGGAAGTATGATTGTTATTTAACTCTAGCTGAGTAATGCTCTGAAGTCAGACAGGTAACCCAAGGCAGTGAAGCAGACCAGAGGGGTGACCCTGAGAATGAATAAGTGACCCTGAGAATGAATAAGCCCAATCTCAAGTGACCCTGAGAATGAATAAGCCCAATCTCAAGAGGACAACCACTACTTGGTTCTAGCCAACTGCTGCCAAAAGGAATATGGGCTTAGTGTTGCCGGGTGACCTTCTGATTTTTTAAAAAGAAGCTGGTAACCCAGATTTTTGTATAAAAGATTTTGATTTTAGGTATTTACAATTGATTCATGTTAGTTGTAAATAGTTAATCGTGCAGGTCAAACAAAGCATCTCTAAAGTCAAATTTAGCTAATAGGCTGTTAATCTATAGCCTCTGTTTTAGTGTTTAAAAAGTGATTATTTTCCTTTATAAATAATCACTATTGATCTTTACAAAAATTTTTTGAATTGAATATTCTCATCTATATTTTTACCAATTGGGAACTCCTCTGTAATGAAGCCAGTAAAAGATGAAGTAGGGAATTCAAGCCACATACTCTATCTGCTCATATTATATAGCCTCTTTGCCTTATACTTACAGTTCTGAACTTTTGTGCATATGTGTTTTTGTTGGGGGGATGGTGTTAGGAGATGAGGGATAGTCATAAGTTCCTATGGAAATTTGATGAAAATTACAGACCAGGTACAGATCCTCTCCACAGAAAAATGCATATATGAACATACATATCAAATGCTATATAATTTCAAGGGATTCACAAATCTCTGAAGCATATACATAGATGCCTATAGTATATGAGACAACTAAAGAAACAGAAATGCGCTCAAAATATCTGTAGCTTTACTTCATGTTAAGCATAAATTTATAATCAATAAGTCCAACAAAACCATTCTGAACCTATTTACATTTCTAATTATTCTATTGTTAGAATTAACAATTCTTTTTATTACTTGTTATATTAAGTCGTGCTGTCTTTTATTTATTTAAACAAGTTTTCTTAAAGTATACAAGTTTTGGGTTTCAAGGGGTTAAGTACAGTTCTAGAATTATATAATTTGTTGAATAATCTCAAGTTCATGGCTTCTATATGCTTCCAAATGTCAAATGCATTCTTTTCTGAGTTGCTATGATTCCTGACTAAATAGTTTATTTCCCTCAGTTCTCCTTGGTTTGGAAACCTCACCATCCATTTTATCTTTTATTTATTTTCTCTGGATTTCCCTCATCTATGTTATTTTCTTCACATTTACAATACAATTACTTATATTACATAAAGAGTAGAAAAACATTTATTATTTTGCATTTAATACTTTTTCTGTCAATGTTGATCACCTTTCTGACTATTTTGGCTGTATCATCAATAATCTCTATATTTGCATAAAAGAATCCACAATTACTGTAATAAATATACTTCCTGGAATAATTCAACTAATTCCAAAACCCATACCCTTTCCAATATATTGCACTGATCAGAGATCACTAACTGTAAATATAATTTTAATTCTATTTTTCACTAGTGTACTTTCTAATATTTTCTCACATCAAAGCATAACAACTTTTTTGGGAGTGGCTTCACTTGACACCTCAGACAATCTCCCTGCAGTCAATACCCCATGAGCTCATCATTTGTGACAGCAAAAAGCGGTATCATTTACTAACTTAGACATTTCACTGTTTATTTCCTTATCTGGATATACATTGTAAAACTAGTACTAGCCCAAATCCAAAATTTATTCTAGTGGGTTCTGTTACTTAAACTCTTCTACTCAGTGAGGCATCTGTGACTAAGAATTTAGCTTATCATTTACAAAACATCCCATGTCTTCCCCACCATATGCCAGACTATTTTTTCGATAGGTTTTATTGCCAAGCTCTGATAAATGCCTTTGAAAGTCTAAATAAATTACACTCACTGGCATTCCTCATACACACATAACTAACCCTTCAAGAATAATGGTAACTACTGTTTATTCTCTACCATGCAGCAAAATAATGTGCTAAATTGTTTATGGTATCTTATTTAATCCTTAAAAAACTCTGAAATTTAGATATTATTACCATTTACATCTGAAATTTAGATATTACTGTTATCATTTTATATATAAAAAAACAGGCCGAGAGCTTAGAGAATGTTCCCAAAGTTACATTATATATATATGTGGTACCGGCCAGAATTCACATATAGGTTTTTCCAAAGCCTCAGCATATTGGACAGGCATAATTTAAGAAAGAAAATATTACTTTCTCCCAGAGTACATTGACTTGAGTGTTTATTATAAATTAGATCCGCCTGCTCTGTATAAAAAGTCAGATCTATTCTATAGTTTCCTTCCCTCGCTCTGAGTCCTTAAGAGTATCATCTGAGAAATGAATTTATCTGCAAGAATAATGACTGGTTTTATTTAAATAAATCTAAAAATCTGCCAGCTTCAACAAGAAAAAAACTAGGACTGAAAATCTTTCTAATGTCTTCCACAGGACTAAGAGTGTATTCAAAATCTGAGTTTATTGCGGTTGTTATTGTTATTGTATTTTTGCTTATTTTCATCCTTGAAACTGGATCATTGATTCTCAGACTCTGACAACACAATTCCAGCATTTTGAGAACTTTTATAAATGAAAGGCTCTGAAGCACATGCAAAGTGCTTTCCAAAGGCTATTTTATTAATTTGGAGTTCACGCCCTTAAAGAGTATACAAAAGTTATATGAAAATACATTCTTGAGCAAATTTTTGTAATCTTAAACCTTGTGATTTGAAAAATTAAGACTACTACATACATGAGAAAAAAGAGGAAAGAAGAGAGGAGATACTATTTGAGAGAAAGGCATGGAGAAACCAGATAAAAACTATAATATATTTTTGTAAAATAGGACTGGAGAAGGAAAGAAACTGTACAGAGAGCACTAGTTGTCTCACTGTGGGACGCTTTGGATGACACAGGATAGAGAATAATTTAGCGACATTGTTTAAGATCTGTTTGCAAATATTTCCCCTGTTTATTGCATCAATTGGACATTAATTGGATATTAATTATGCTTAATAAAACCTTTTATAAAATGTAAATATATCCTTGGAGAGTTAGAAACCTATTGGTTCTTCATACTTTTACTCTGAGTTACTATAATTAGATTGTCTACAACTTAAGTAAACTCTTGGGAAATGTAAGTTTTAATTGCAGCATGGAACACTTCAGAGTAAAAACTATAAAGATCTCTGGATAGCCTAAGGATAGAATGACTGAGAAAGGTGGAATGATGAGACACTAAGGAAGGGCAGAGCTGGGGAAAGGAAGTGAAAAAACACCTGCTTTACAATTTTTGCTTCAGAAAAATAACAGGTTATGATTCAATGATCTCAAAGTTTCCTTTTCGCTCTATAATTCTCTGAGAGCTATTATGCAAAGAGTGGATGTTTTACATACCGAACCATATGCTACATTTTCCTTCCTGTAGTCTACACCATCCTACTATTAAAACAAAAGAGCTCCCTTTTCTACCTCAACAACATAAAAGAGAATAACATCAAAACTAGTTCCAGAGAACAACCAAAAGGATATTACAGAAATCATACTGAGGTAAATGTCTTCCAATAAAGAAATTAATAACACTGCCTCCAACACTTTGATAATCAGTATTTGATAACTGACTGAATGAAATCGGTGGTCCAAAAGAGATATAGATTTTTGGAATGGTTCCGAATCTCTCCCCAGGAACACGCTAAATAAGAACCCTCATCAGCCAGACAGAAAAAGTGAAGAGAAACTATTTCCCCACTAGCCTCAAGGCATTTCCTTACCACTACATAACAGCTCAGTCCTTTGCTCTTTCCCATTTGTCACCTTACTATTTTCCTTGGCATCTCTGCATCAGCCCCAGTCATGTCTGTCTCCACAGTCACCACTGCAGACCTCCACAAAGTTTCCCTTTCTGCCTGTTGGTTTCACTTAAATCTCTCTGCCCAGGGTTTACCCACACCTGCTCGACTCCTGATCCTTCCACCGACTCTAGGGCTCCAGGCAGAGAAGAGGATTGCGCTGGGCATCCCATTCTCCAGCGGAATAAGTGGAAGTCTATGGGAACTACCTCGGAGGCGTCTGTGCCTCTGCACCCCATACCCAGGAGCTCCCCTTTTTCTCCCGGAATGTTTTTCACTCACAGCGCACAGTGTGGAAGGCGCAGAGAGGCTGCTTCTCAAAACTCTCGCCTAACTTAAGAACCCGCTCACGACTGCCGATGTGCCAAGGTCCATTCATCATTATCCTTCGTCTCCGACTTGGCCTCCGCCTCCACCGCTGCCTACCTTCTGCCACCTCAGCCTGAAGAAGCTGCATTTGCAGCCACAGCGCAGCCACCACAGACTCCGCCCCGCGCCCAACGCGCGCGTCCCCACCGGGCGCCTCTCGCGTGCTGATTGGCTGCCTGGCGAAGAGCGCCCCGCCCCTTGGCTCCGAGGATCCTGGTCCCGCCTCCAGGCCCCTTCCCGCGTTGCGACGCACGCCTCCCTGGGAACGCCGCGCAACTGAGGTGCGCAGTGGGATCGGAGTTCTTTGGTGGAGGAACGCGAAGTGAGGATGAGGTAACGGACCCGAGGTTGTGGCTGGGGAAGGAGCAGGACTGGCGGTACCAAGAAGTCAGGAGCCCAGACTCCGGGGCCAAGTGCCCCGGAATGTAGGAGCGCTTAACAAGAGAATTATCCTGCTCCAAGCCTTCTGTAGAAATCTAGTGTGAAAACTGAGGCCCGGGGAGGGAGCGGGCGGACTCGGCACAAGGCCTGGTGTCTGGCCCAAGGCCTGGTAGTGCCCAAGCTGGGTCTAGAATCCGGAGTAAAGAAGCCGGCGGCCTCTGAGCCTCTGCCCTTGGGCCTGACTAGAAGGCGACGCCGTTTCCTAGGCAATCGTTTTCTGACCTGTTTCAGAGGAAGTTCCAGGTGCTATTAGGGCCGGCACGTGGAGGGAGGCGGGGTCCGGCTGGGGCGGGGATCGTGGGGGTGGGGGAAAGATTCGGAGTTCTGAACTGCAGATGTTTAGGATCAGTTGCAACTAGTTTGCATTATGTCGTCGTCTTTTATTTATTCATTTTATAGTGATCCGTGGAGGCAGTAACGGCACAGCTAAGACCGCCAGATTACCAAAGGATCAAGGCCAGAGTTCGTGCTCTGGCGACCGGGTAATAGCATTAATAATTGAAAAGTAATTTTTTTCTGTCAAAAAGTCGTGAGTTTAATGGTAAAGATTAGAGAAGTGTTGTATTAGAAGACAAGCATCCAAAAGGAAGTTTATAAGTGGTTACCATAGCAGGTGGCTGTTTTTCAGGATAATTATGTTATCAAACTCTGCTCCCTTCTACCTTAGCCAAATTTGTCAATTTATTGTTCCAGTTAGGTAGATGAATGTGTCTCCCTCAGCCTATCTGCTTGTCTAAATTTAGCTCTTTTAAGGCATACTAAGACTGTTTTGTGTGGTAATTAAGAATTCAAATTCTGTAGTCAAACTCTGGGTTTGAACCCCACCTTCATACTTTTCAGTGTGACTTTGTGCATACCAAAGTTAAGTATGCTCATTGTTAAAATGGGGGGAGGGGAGCGGAATAATACTGTTTATACCGTAGGTAGAGTTGTTGAGAGAGATGAGTTAATATGTGAAAGCATTTAAAGCAATTCATGGCATATATTAAAAACTCCAGATTATTATTCTTGAGGCTTAATTCTACTGTCATGCAACTTTTTAGGACCATCCTTGGTGGTTGCCGTCTCTTCTAAATCTTGAATTATTCTAGGAGGTGAGAATTGCTATTTTGTTTACAAATAAGAAAACTGGTTCAGCGGAGCCCAGTCCTCTGACCTCTATGGTGTATATTCTTTGGTGCCATGTACTTGGTACTTAACATATTTTATATAACGTATTTTACATATACGTATTTGTGTGTCTGTGTATGTAAGTGTATACTTTTCCTTCCTAACCAGAACATTAGGTGAGAATCTGTCCTACATAAAATCTTCGTGACGCTTGCCTCTAAAATAGTGCCCCACACACATTTGGTGGTGATGATGTTTCATTGTGTTAGCCAGAGGGCAAGAATAGTGTTTTAAGCCCATTTAACCTAAAAAAGCTCTCCAACTAGAAATGTGAGGTTTCCATTTTGTAACGAGAAAAGCAGAGGATCAAGAAATCGAGTTTGGGAATCTCAAAATTTGTGCATTTTTTAATTTTTTCAACATGTATTTATTAAGTACCTACCATGTGCTAGGCACTAGTCTAGCCTGGCAGTGAACCTGAGAGAAAGAAGCAACTATCAAGGGTGGTCTTTGTTTTGCCCTAGTGAAGCTTACCTTCTACTATGAATTTTCTCCAAACATATTAAAATGAACTAGGGTACTAACCCAAGAATAAACAAATAAATTAATGAACTAAATACAGTCCAAAAATATACCCAAATGCCATTTCAGATTGCTTCTTTCATGTCTATTCGTGACTAATAACTTCAGGAATTTGCATGTGCATTCAGCTATGTGCATTTGTTCTTTTTTCACTAATCTATAATCTCTTCTAACTTAAAAGAATTTAGTTAGGTTCCTATTTTACACCATTCACAAAAGAACTTTTATGTATATTGAAAATATAAAATTGTAAGTTAAATGAAGTTATAAGTAGAACAAAATCATATAAAGACTAGAAAATATTAGGAGAACATATTTTAGCTCTTGAGGTGCGAAGGACCTTTCTAAGCATGACACCAATGGCAGAAGACAGAGGAAAAGATTGTCAGACTTGACTACATAAAAATTGTAAAACTATGTTAAACGCACCATAATCAATCTTTGAAAAATAAATGGCAGACAAGAAGAAAGTGCTTACAACCAATATAAACGATAAAACGTTCTTTAAAGCTTCTACAAAAGAACAAAACAAGCCAATAGAAAAATTGTTGAGGGATATGAATAAAAAATTCCTTAGAAAGAAATGGCCAGTGAACATGAAATGTGCCTGGCCTTCCTAATAAGCAAATAGAGATTAAAACAAGATGATACCATTTTTCATCTAGAGGATTGGCAAAAATATAAATGATAACAGGTATTAGTGAAAGTATAGTAAATGAGCACCCTCATACATTGTTGGTGGAAGTATAATTTGGAACACACATTTTAGAGAAAAATTTGAGATCTAATCAAAATGTTAAAAATGTATATCTGGTAACTCAGCCATCTAACTTTAAGGAAAATTCATTCTACAAAGTACTAATATGAGTGCATAAAGACGCATACATTGATAGTCATTGTAGCTTTGCTTATACACTCTGAATGACTTCTAATATAGGAAATGTTTAAATACACAGTAATCTTCCTTGATCCAAGGGGAATACATTCTAAGACTTCCATTGGATGTCTGCAATCATAGATAGTACCGAACCCTATATGTGCTATGTTTTTTCCTATAAATACATAACTATGATAAAGTTTAATTTATGACTTAGGCACAGAAAGAGATTAACAATAACTAATAAAACAATTATAACTATTGTAATAAAAGTTATGTGAATACGATCTCTTAAAATATCTATCTGTACTGTACTTACCTTTTCACTTGAGGGAAGTACTTTACAGCTTCTCTTTGACATATCTGAATTGGTCAGCCTTACTACCCTTGCACTTTAAGGCCATTATTAAGTAAAAGAAGAGTTATTGGAACATAAGCACTATAATACCATGGTAGTCAATCTGGTCACCAAGAAGACTACTAAATGACTAATAGGCTGGAAGCGTGGGACACTGGACAAAGAGATGATTCACTTCCAGGTTGGGAGGGAGCAGGACAGTGCAAGATTTCATCATGCTACTCAGAATGGTGTGCAACTTAAAAATTATGAATTATTTATTTCTGGAATTTTCCATTTAATATTTTTGGACCACGGTTGACTGCGGATAGCTGAAACCATGGAAAGCGAAACTGTAGATAAAGCAGGGAACTACTCTATTTCGATGCACTCTTACAAAGGAAGCATAACGTCATGCAGCTGTTGGAAAGATTGCAAAGTTTTATGCCTATGTGCCAGAAGTTGTGCTGGGCTTTAAAATATTTCCAGAAAACATTTTTTTTTAAAGATTTGTATTTTACCTAATATGGGATAATTTTGGATACCTTTATTATAGCTAACTGTTTAATATAAAGGATGGCCAGTTATGAAGAATAAGAACTAAAAAAAAGTGAGTTAAAAGTAGATAATTTTAGAATATGTTTTGTGTTTTTACTGTTTTACATGGGAAGGAATATTATGAACATTGTAATTAAAACCACAGACTTTGGTGTCAGACTTGACTGGGTTTGAATACTGACTCCACCACATGCTGGTGGAACCGTGACAAGTTTAAGTTCTTCAATTTTTATTTTTTTTATCTGTAAAATAAAGATGGTTACAGGTTCTACTTTATAGTCCTATTGTGAGGATTAAATAAGGTAATGCGTATAAAAAAAGCACTTGGCACAGTGCTTAATTCATAGTAAACACTTAATATATGTTAGCTTTTGTTAATGTCTTTGAGCTTTGAATGCCTTTTTATAAAATGTTTTAGCAGCAAATTGAATTGGGATGTGGATTATTTTTTAATTTTAAGATAGTTGATTTTATTCAGTAAGCTATTTATAAACAAGCTCTTGTTATCTTATATAATATTTCTGAGTTGTGTGTTGGGGATCCCCAAGACCAACCCCAGTTCAGTGATTTGCTAGGAAGGTTCACAGTTCTCAGGATATAGACATATTCGTGGCTGTGATTTGTCCTAGTGATGAAAAAATGCAAAGCAACATCAGCAAAAGGAAAAGGCCCATGGGGTGAAATCAGAGGAAAACGGGTCAAACTTCCAAATGTCTTCTCCTAGAGTCACAATAGGACCTGCTTAATTTCTCCTGCAGTGAGTCGTGACAACATATTAATGTGTTGCCTACCAGAGAAGCTTACTAGAGACTTACTGACCAGAGTCTTTATTGGAGGATAGTCATGTAGGCATCTTCTGCTACCATGTACCAGAATTCCAAACCTCAGGAAGGAAAGCAGATGTTCAGCATAAATCACATTGTTTTTACAAACAGTTTAGGCACAGCGAGCCATTCTTATTAGGGAATGGTAGAAACCTCCTAAAATCCAAGTTCCTAGACACCAGTCAAAGGCCAGCCTTATAAGGAGACCTTTGAAAGGATAGCAGTCTCAGGCCTATGTTGGCTCTTTTATGTACACTGAGTTTCTCTTTTTATGATAAAAGCAAATGAATTCCTATTCTAGGATTATTGTGCAGATTAAAAACAGTGAATGTGAAGCCCCAAGCACAGTTCCTGACTGTTAGAGAGTATACAATAGATACCTACTGTAGCTGTTACAG